CATACCTGCGAGACTCGGCAATAGCGACGGTCCAGGGTCAACCATGTCGTTCAACGACTTGCCATCTGGAGCCGTCGCCGAGGCATTGAACACCACTCTTAACTTCGTGGTGGCAGCGTGCTCACGGAATACACCATGATGCGGTACATAGTACCCGGCATCGCTCTCACATGGCTCCAGCTCAATTGCTCCAAGCTCACGTTACTCCCTGATCAGCACATCATCATAGAGCGCACGCTTCCCATTCCTCTTCAGCTTTTCAAGAAGCCGCGTTGCGATGACTCTAGCTTGAGTAACGTTATCCGTTGGGCGACGCTCATTTCGCCACAAGAGACCCACTTGGTACCCGCTGCCCTGGCGACATAGCGGGAACGATGGCAGGTGCTGATGTTGTTCTGGAGGTTCATCCAACTGCCATAGTTGTTCAATGTGGGCTGTGACACATGACACGGTCACCGGCTGACTGTTTCGACTTGGTGCAGACGCTGGACCAGATAATACATTACCTATCTCTGTGTTCCACACCGTCTCACCATTAACTTCCTTCTTGCTGTGCAATACCGCGTTGATATAGTCTGCACCAATCAGCATAATTTATTATATTATTATTATGTATTTCGTCTGATGTCCCTTGTTGAGGCTTGGCACTCAGCTCTACTCCCCAACTGTGCCACTGCGCAATGGTCTGCGGACTTGCGCACTTCAGGTCCAGCTCAAGCGTTGGTTTCACGAACGCGCGTACCCGAATGCTAGCCGAGCTACCCTGGATCGTGATGGCGTACTTATCCATGCGCTGTTGGGTTGGTTCCGCGCCGAACGGCTTCACCTCTACATTTTCAACCCCAACGTGTTCTGCATCGATTGCTGACACCAACGCTGCAGTCACGAATGACGCCTCAGCACCCGAGTCCAGGAACACTCGAACCTTCGCGTTTCGAGTTCTTCCCTCAACTCGTGCCACTCCGGTCATCAGCCGCACACTTGGCGAGTGTAGACAGCACGACCCAACATTCTTCTCCATAACTATCTCAGTCGGTTTCTCCCGGCTGTAACCTGCTCTATCCAACACATCATGTATTAGCAGGTGGTGTTTCCTCTGACATTTCGTGCATCTCGAGCCTGACCGACATTCTCTGGCCATATGGCCATACTTAAGGCAGTTCCAGCAGAGTCTCTCTCGCTGCAGAAAACCCTTTCTCCCTTCCTGTGGCAGCGACTTTAGCTGCTTCTCTGCATCTGCGACCGATATCGCCATACACTGTGCCGACGCCGTGGGCCTTGGCACGAATCGTTCTATTGGCTTCCTGGCAGTATCACCCTGTCGTCCGTGCGCGACCTGGTAAGACGCACCGTGCTCCTGTACCTGGCGCAGTGACATCCCGTAGCACAGCCGTTCGACCAGGTACGTCTTCATCTCAGGTCCGCATTGCTCCAAGATTACCTGTTTTGCCATTGCTTGCAGCACCGGGGACATTTTTCCTATATCGGCGCTATACTTGGTGTCCACCTCGCCATCTTCTGTCATAGCGAGTGTGGCCCACACCTCTACCTCTCGGCAAACACGGACAACGTATTGATGAAACGACTCATCTGACCGCTGCTTGCCTGTCAGCAATGTCTTCCACGCTTTATCCGGAGTCTTTCCGAGCGAGGCAAGCAACTCTCGTTTTGCTTCCTCGTAATTATTGCATCCAATACATAACCTCTCCGCTTTGCTACCTGCTAGCGCGATGCGCAGTCGCAGCAGCCATTCGCTTTCTTCGAACTCGTTCTTGGAACAGATGTCCTCGAACAGGTCAAGATAACGCTCCAATGGCTGCGTTCCATCATATGAGGGGATTTTCATCAGCGGTTGACGCCCACCGCTGTGACTGGGAGATTCCTCTGTACCTCCCATCGCGGCTTTACCCTCACCTTCATGCGCATTGGCGATGCGCTCGTTAATCTCCTTTAGTGTTTTGGCAAACTCGGTGCGGAGCGCCTCCTCTCGCCGTCTGGCACTGCGCTCCTCACGCTCCGCGTACTGTTGGAGCCTCTGCTCCACATGTACCTTCAACAACTCGCCTTCTAATCCTAACCGCTCTCCATTGTCGATAAAGCTGGCTTCCAAATTGTTCCATAGTTCCTCTGCCATGCTCGCTCCTATCCTGGCGTGGTCGCCAAATGTTGTGAACCCTCTAAGATTCTCTAAACTGTCAGGATCGTACGACCACACGGCACGAGGACAACACTTTTCCTTTAGACAGTATATTTCACTTCATCGAATAATTAACAATGAACACTAATAACATCAGCTATTTATAGTATGCAAAACAGCGTACATGCAAAACATACGCATATAAAACTGGACATAACAGCGTATACAGCAAAACGCACACAACGCATATAGCGTATGCCATGCAGCAACATCAGCAGAACGGCGGAGTCGAAATACAACATTTAAACGAATACCATGCCATAAGCGCGAAGGCCTTTCCCAATTGAGAACTGGTGGATCGTTGCAGTTGTTTGGTGTCACACCTCGTGAAAGTGTGACAAGTGTTCCCTGATGTGTTCAACGTGTTTGTCTATAACTGGCAGCTGTTTGTTTTTGAGTTTTTAACACTTTAATCATTTTAACACCTATGTTGAAGTGTTGACTTTTCTTTCTTTCATTCTCTATTATAGTTATGTGTTTTTCTAATTTCCAACATTCCCTGTACTATCCTGAAGAGAAGGGAAAGAAACGTTTGATAGAAAAGAAGTGTCTACTGAACTGTGTGGATTTGCATCGTTGCATGCGAATACTTATTACGAAACTGTTTTCCCACCGCCTCCAAACTACTGTATAATTAATTATTAATAACTAAAAATTATACTTTATTTAGTTCTCTCCCCCTCTCTTGCCCCCAACCCTCCCCGCTCGCGCTCTCTCTCTCATTTTTTAAAATACTTTTTTAGTTCTCTTATTTAGTTCTCTTGCTCCCCAACCCTCCCCGCTCTCTCTCTCTCTCTCTCTCTCTCTCTTTCTCTCTTCTCTCTCTCTCTCTCATTTTTTAAATACTTTATTTTAGTTCTCTTATTTAGTTCTCTTGCTCCCCAACCCTCCCCGCTCTTTCTCTCTCTATCTCTCTCTCTCTCTCCTCTCTTTCTCCTCTCTCTCTCCTCTCTCTCTCCTCTCTCTCTCTCCTCTCTCTCTCTCTCTCTCTCTCTCTCTCTTTCTCTCTCTCTCCCTCTCTCTATCTCTCTCTCTCTCTCTCTCTCTCTTTCTCTATATATCTCTCTCTCTCTTTCTGTCTAAGTTTCTCTCTCTTTCTCTCTCTGCTATTGGTGCGCCTGGCTGTGATGAAGCCGAGACCCAAGGTCGGCAGAGCATCCCAGACCACGCCACCACTCCCCTTATTCATGGCTCACACATGACGGGTTTACGTGGCTCTAGTAAAAATAAAAAAATAAAAAAATGATGTGGCCTATCAACGAAAAAAAACATTTCCATCAGTTCTAATAACAAGTACGATGAGCTAGGCAAAAAAGCATAAACGCATAGCGTAGGGCCATGAGCTTCCAAGCTCTCTCGTTTGGTATTTGTTTGTTTGTTTGTGTGTTTGTGTCACGCCTGGCGCTATCCCGTATCTATCCCGTACCGTACCGTTCCATCAAACATGGCTGTCCACATACAGCTGGACGGGAAGCAACTTGGAAGAATGAGTATGAATGCGAAGTGTATTGGGGAATGCATGTAGGGCGATAGCGCGGGTTCGAATCCCAGGTTATGCCTGAAAAAATAGGAGAATTGAAAAATTTATAACATCCCTATGCTTTTTTTGCCTAGGTCGGTAGACGGTGTCGTATTACCCTCGACCGTATCTGTCCCGTACCGTACCCTACCAACAAAGACGGCTGGCCGGCCACAAACAGCTGGCCACGATATTCAAATAGGGCTTTAAAATGCAAGATCATAACGTGAAGCAACTTGGAAGAATTGGTATGTATGCGAAGTGTATCGAAGGATGCATGCAGGGCCATTGGTGCGGGTTTGAATCCCAGGTTATGTCTTAAAAAATGGGAGAAATGAAAAATATATTTTTGCCTAGGTCATAAAGGCAACAAAGCATAAAGTAGGGCCCTGAGCTTCCAAGCTCTCTCGGTTTGGAGAGGAAGCTTATCAAGGACAGAAAAATCAAATCTCAGGCTCTTCATCACCACCATCATCCATAAGGACTCCAGTTTTTCGGGACTCACTTGGAATGAATTACAAGCAACCAGAACAAAATGAAAAATTAAGATCAATAGCTCCAAAAAGGTGATACCCATTTCAACAAGGGGATAGATATTAGATTTAGCGATAAATTATGCAGAATGGGAGGAAAGAAAGAACACCCCTTATCCCAAGGTTTCGTCCCTTGGGTGAAAGTCTTTACACAGTGTTTATTTTAGTCCCTCTTGTCTCACTTCTTACATCCTCTTTACATCCTCTTTCTATCTTTCTACCTTTCCTATTTACCTTGTACAAATGCATCGCGAAATTTATTATCTAGGTTTTTCACAGTAGATGCAATTGGGTGAACTCGCCCATTCCACAATACTCTGCAAACTTCAAAACCATTCCATTATATACAACGTTTCGGCCAATGGCCTTCTTCAGGTAGTCAATGATGTCTCCAAGGCTGCAAACGGGCGGTTTAAATATGTGCCTGCTCCGCCCGAAGCGCGCGATCTATTCTGCTAACGGGGAGGCGGGAAAACCCCCAAAAAAGCTAGATGTAAAGCTGGCCTGCATTGATGTTTATGATGATGTACTTGCAACAGAGTGTAGCGGCATGGACAAGAAGCTATTGGATGACATCCAACCAAGATGTACAAGATTCCCGAAATGGTACGGACTCTCGAAAGACCACAAACAGAATCTGCCATTGCGGCCTGTTGTGCCCGCTTGTGATGGACCTACCACTGGAATCTCAGTTATACTAGAACGTATACTACAACAACACGTCGGATCTGTACCGGCATACCTGGCTAATATGATAGAGGATATCGACTGCATCAAGGACCTATGTCCTGGTCTAAAAGCACCTGAAGGCACAATCGTCTTTACTATGGACGTAGTAGGCTTATACCCCAGCATTCCAATCCAGGAAGGGGTCGATGCTGTGATGGAGGAGTTAGAGAACCACTTAGAGCAAATCGACACGCTTGGACCCAGCCTGAACGAGGTGCGTAACCTGCTGCAATTTGTGCTGAGCCACAATGATTTCAAGTTCGGACATCAGGTATATCATCAGATTGACAGGGTTTCCATGGGCAACAACCTGGCACCACTCTTCGCCATTATCTTTATGCATACAATCGAGACCAGACTTCTACAGACCGCAGAGATCAAGCCGCTAGTGTACAAGCGCTACATCGACGCCATCCTAATCCTCTGGACCTATGGCAGAGAGCGGCTTGTACAGTTCGTACAGCTCCTCAACTCCTACCACCTAAGGATCAAGTTCACATACGAGTTGAGTGAGGTGAGCGACTCAGTGAATTCCATGGATATAACCATTGCCGTCAAAGAGTCGGGAGAGTTGGCATACAAGCTATTCCAGAACCCATGCAGCAGTGGGCTACTGATGGATTATGCGTCGGCTACTCCCAACATAATGAAGTTGCCCGTTGCCTCCTCTCAATTTCTGAGGGTCCAGCGCCTATCATCAGGTCCCCAGATGCGCAGTGAAAGTGAATTGACGATAACCAAGCAACTAAAACTGAATCACTATCCGGACATTGTCATCAACACGAGCTAGCAAGCCAAAGCGTCGGCGTTGGACAAACCCATCCAGTGCCTTCTTGAAATTACCATACAAATCTGACTAAGTGGATTATGCTGTAAACAAAGCCATACCAAAATATGGTCTGCCCTAGTACGTCCATTATGCCTTAAAGCCGAAAACCCAACACAACGGGGAACGAGAGGTCGGCCCAAGGGACCAAATTTTGACCAAGGGGCCAAAATTTGTGACCAGTGTTAAACACGCTGCTTTTTGCTCGGCATCCCTTCCTCCATGGGTTCCACTTTGCTCATCTTCACTATAAAAAGCAGTGTGGATACAGCACCCCCCCCCCCCCCCCTATTCACCATACACATTACTGCTTGTTATCTCTATGCTCGGTGCACTGCTTACACATGCACACGCCCATGACTTCGGATAACTTCGACGTGATAGACAAGGTTCCCCTCGAAACGTACATGCTTTGTTTATGAAAATCGGCGAAGGAACACCAGAGATATACTCTTTTTAGTGTCACTGTATAGTCAACGAGCGAAATCGCTCGTTGAGCGCACAAAGGGTTAATTATAATGCTTTTTGAATTCTCATGTTATGATTCTTTTTATTATTTCCTTCTCTCGTAATATATTATTCCTTCTTGGTAAGAACCAGAGGTTTTTTCCTCTGGGGATAATGGAGAATTTCCTGTGATTTAAACGAATTCAAATAAAAGAAACCGCCAGCCCAGTACACAACCCGGCTTATCAAAATGGTGGAAAGCCTCATCAAGAGGATGCTTTGGCGGGCGATATTCTTTATGAAAGGGCAAGGCGACGAGGCTTAACTTAACAGACGCGTCGCCTATGACACCCCTCGGAATTTCCCACCTTGCTCCCCCTTATGGTCTGGCTGCCCGTTTTGGATCCATCAGTTGCCTGATGATCGTAGAGATACGTGAAACTCGGAGTTGTGACAAAGCTTCCAAACTCTCTCTTGTGTACAAGGCTCTGCCCTACATGGGCATTGAGCACTCTTCAGACAGTGAAGCACACCACTTGACTACGTCAAGGGCTCCCTATTGGTAGAGCAATCTCGCTTTACTGTTCGTGTCGGAGGATGGAGGCGCCAAAACGGGTGGATTTGAACTACTCCATGAAGAACATCCCCCTTCCGTCGCCAGCCCAGTACACAACCAGGCTTATCGAGATGGTGGAAAGCCTCATCAAGCGGATGCGTTGGCGGGCGATATTCTTTATGAAAGGGCAAGGCGACGAGGCTGAACAGACGCGTCGCCTATGACACCCCTCGGAATTTCCCACCTTGCTCCCCCTTATGTTCTGGCTGCCCGTTTTGGATCCATCAGTTGCCTGATGATCGTAGAGATACGTGAAACTCGGAGTTGTGACAAAGCTTCCAAACTCTCTCTTGTGTAAAAGAAAGATAGAAAGAAAGAAACAAACAAACCTTTGCAAGTCTGACCATTATCGGTCCAGGTGCCATTCGCACTACAGGTGATGGTTCTGTTACCATGGAGTTCATACGTCGAGTTACAGATGATAATTGCCATGGTTCCAAATGTTGGCGTGATGTGCCCAACCAAAACTGAGCCACTCTGCACTGTTGGCGTACCTTTGCACCGCACAGCTGAAACAGAGCAGACATTCAAGTTCCTTTTACGAGTAATTGCAAAGATTTCTACACAAGCAAACCCACTGTTTTCGGCACTTTTTCGGCCGGTTGATTTTAGAAAATGCCCACTGGACATGCTACGAACAAAATACCATCAAGACAACACTGCCTCACATTGGAAGGGTTTGGGGGACTGGACGGATTAGGCATGTTAGCATCCCTGAAGGCCAGAGGAAATACCTCTCTGACAATACAAATATTTAAAAATGTCTGTTGATAATAGCCGATTTGCAGCACTGGTTGCATCCCAAGCCCCCACCCCGACCCCACCCCTTTTTCCGAGGTACGTCCAGAAGTAGGTAGAAGTACACGACAGGTACATATAAGAACAACTCTTCTGACGCCGAGGACATCTCCACTATGTTCGTTTTTGATCTTTCTTCAGAATTTAATAATGTTGTTGACCTTAAACCCCTCTAGTCCATGGTTCCGAAATACAGCCCCTGCGCCCGCCCCTCTGCGAGGTATAATCAGTGATTTCTACTTCACCACTACTGCATCAGTCCGTGCGCGTTACCAACGTGATTAGGGATAACATGCGTGAACTGTGGTGTGTTGGATCATGGAGCTGGCATTATTTTGTCATAAGGCACTTGACTTTACAGCTCCTCTTGAGCTAAAAGTATGAAAAGATGAAAGCTAAGGTATTTCAGTCAGTTCATATGAACTTATCCACAGGCAGTGCACAGCGATTCAGTGCACAGCAACTCAGCTTCTTTCGCAAGGCTGCCATGGCTCTCAATTCTGAATGCCGTGCAGTAGTGTACAGCCTGTGTTTGGCCGATTTTGGAATATGGTATGCTGCTAGCACCCTCCGTACTAGCAAAGGTCACGGCCATTCAGCTTAGCGCACTCCTTGCCATCGATAATGGCTGCCACCTGCCCGGCCTGGACATCTGTCGTAATGTTGCTGACCTCGCCTATCTCTTCAAGATCCACTATTTGACTGGCCCTGCCATGGTCACCGCCCTCATATCCACGACAGCTCCAACCCGGGCCCGCACGCTAGCCTGCGTTTGCACAATTGCGAGCCACCACCCGTCCAAGGTGACCAAGACTGTCCCACCTCAGTATCGGAACGATGACCTTCGGTCCTTCCCTCACTGCATGATGGACACCGTCTCCTAGCCTTTATTCACCCTTTCAGAAGGCGATGCAGACCTTCAAGAAAAGGGTCTACGTCCACCTGCGGCATTCTGACTGGGATTGGACAACCGACCGCCTTTAGCCTCTTCAGGGAGTAAGCCAAATTATTGCCAATCCTGAGTGGCCAAATCCCACTTCTGCCTCTAATACAAACTTCACTTGACCCTTTTCTTTCACTCCCATGATCTGTTAGATCAATCATATTGCTAACTTCTGCTGTATTCCAAGAGAACAGTGCATAACCTTAAAGTTGCTGGAGCAGCATGGCCTAGCAATGCGAGTATTCCGCCCTCAGACACGAGGGCCAGCACCTCCAGACGCAGCATGAAACCGTCATGAAACTAGCGCTGATTATTCAATACAATGATAATGCAAGCTACGTACGGAATAAGGAAGAAAATATAAACCAGCTGTTAACTGAACACGTCTTCTACCACTGAGAGCATGTCCCATAATTTCATTTTGTTTTTTTGAAAACCAATTCTGTTTGGAACAAACTAATTAGGTGGTGCTCCATTGAGGAATCGTTTTCCGGCCATGATATTTTCCCCATCCTGCACACCTATCGTTCCTTCCACCCCTCCCAATCCTATATCCATCCGTCATCTGGGTTTATGAAAGAGCAGCGATGACCTTCTTGTAGCACAGCATTCGATAATATTCAATATCGCCTAGATAGTTGTCACTCTGCGCCATCAACGACGCAGAAGATATTCGACATGAGAAAAGCTATATGATCGAATATTCTCCTTTTCTATTGATTTGATATGGATCACATCCTCAATCTTCTGTGCGGTATTTGTCGAAAATGCATTCAGAATGCTGAGTGTCCATGGCATGCAGCAGAAGGGGCGGAATTCTTACGTTGGCAGTGTGGAACAGATTTCCAATTTGAAGGTGACACACAAGATATTGTGGGGCTGCCCTGTCGTACGAATCCTTCCTTGCAACCGACATAAAACACTTCACCGGTTGACGCGTTCAAGCCGGACACATTGCTATTAGGTATAATTGGTTCGTGACACGGATCACCTGAAATTGCGAAAACAGAAAAAACGTCGTTTAAACAGTCGACATCATCATACATTCTCCAAATCTTGATGAACAACGACAATGAAAAGTCTACAAATGACACGATAATTGCAAAACGTTCCCCTCCCTAAAGAATTTTTGATGATTATTTTCTGGTACAAAAAAATGTTCTAACCGTTGCACGTTGCCTTCGTGTTCCACACGCCATCCGCCCGACACGTAGCATTTGAAGAACCGGCTAATGAATATCCAGTACTGCATGTCACGGTCGCTCGTTCATTGGCGATGCCGTCAGGTGGCTGAAGAAATCCATTGTTAATAATTGTCGAGGAAGAGTTGCAAACAATTTCTGAAAAGAAGTAACAAAAGTGTACGTCATGCTACGAAAAGCTCATAGTTGCACATAGTCCATTTACAGCCAAATACCTGGACAATTTTTTTTAAATTTGATAACCGCATTCAATAAGGCTGCGTTCGTTTTTAGATAAGATCATCGGCCCCGAGTTTGGCTTCACATCCTGGAGCACTGCAGAATGGTTGCATCCCTGCCGCTCCTCTGCAAGCTAACGTACCTGCCCCGAAAAATCACCTTAAGGCCATTCTACCAGGCCCAGCCGAGTCTGAGCCGACCTACGCCCTCCGTGCAGACCATCGACCAGGCTGGCTACTAAGATCGCTCAGCAACACCAGAACCAGCTAAAATCAACACTCCAGGCACGCACCCAAAGCATCCTCCGCAATGGGTTCCGCGATTGCGCCATCCCAAAGTGGAACAGCCTGCTGGGACTTGTCTTCCGATCTGCACCGCACCCACAACAGCTGCAGTCCTTCAAAGAAAGATGCCGTAAGTACCTGCTGCGCCTTGACTGGCAGAGAGCAGCTGACGCTCTTTGACTTCCTCAGCTTAAGTTCTGATTGACCTCCATTTCACTATCCAACATATCTTTTGTCTTTACCCCTCTGCAGTGGATGTGTGGGCGCTAATAGTGGGCGCTGCACTTCCGTATACATGTCTTGTTCTTGTCTTGTTCTTCTCTCTCTCTCTCTCTCTCTCTCTCTCTCTCTCTCTCTCTCTCTCTCTCTTTTATGTCCTTCTCTATTTTCTTGGCGCGCTTTGTCTGTGCAGACGCCGACACCACCAAGGTCGGTTGAGTAGCAGGGCCCCGCCACCACTTTCCGCATTCATTCGGGAGCATAGTGGACTTAGTAAAAAAAATGGTAGAGTAAAGTAGAGTCACTCTACCAATAGAGGTAGACGGTAGAATTGAGTGCACGGGCGCTTTTCTACCGGATTTAGTAGTTTTGCACAATATGTACGTGAACTTCAACCAACTTCTAAGGGCTTCTACCAACTTTTTCCTGGTGGAGCCGGTAGAGGAAAGTAGAATTTACGCTTTTTAAAAGTAGAAACAAACGCACACCTCTACCGAAATAAATAGTTTCTACTATAACCTGTGATGCCAACGCGAATCCCGCGAATTATTATTATTATTATTATAACCTGTAAATCAAAAACGAAACTAAACAAAGCTGAATCGACATATATAATTATGTATACTTTATTCATGAAATGTAAAACGGTAATTTTGTTACTAAAAGCCATGTGGTGCACGCAATGGGAACATGCAGCAGCCATGGTGGTAGGGGCCAGGCGCTCCGTTGACCAACTGATCTCGACATCGTTACGCTCTGGACGTACCAGATAATTGGACGTATGAGGGAAAGAGAAGAAAGAACAGGAGCAGTGGGAGGGGAAGGAGAGGGAAGTGGGTAGATTGAGAGGTGAATCGTTTTATTGCAGACCGTTTTACATTGCATGAATAACGTAGACACAAATATCCATTCAGCTTGTCTTATTGATAGCGGTTATCAAATTATTGTCTCCTCGCCGTTATATTTTAAAATATTTATTGATATTTCTCTAGGGCAGTTCCCAGAGACCTATGGTCTCCTTACGGGGTACCCTAGCCTGTAACAGTTCCCTGTTAGCGCTAACCTTATCTGCCCTCTAGCTCTGTATCTTGCACCTTTCCCTATCCTGTCAGCACTCGCGTTATCACCTTAGGGCACGAGGTGCCCTATATCAGTTGTGTTGCCTTGAGCAAGCATTGTCTTTTCCAAGAATACCTTCAAACGGTTACACTGGTAGCAGAGGATGGTTTCCATGGTGTTCTTGGAGCTCGCCATTGTCGTGGAGATCCTTGTTCTTTCTGTGTTGCTATTCAGGTTGGCCAGCGAGGTCCGTGAAGCCAGTCGCCAAGTCAGCGCCCGTCTGAGCAACCGACAACAACCGCTCCCTGTGCCGCCCGCTCATTGGTCCGGGAAGCTTCGGCACGCTAAGGAGCCGCCGATCTTCGATGGCAAGCCCTCGCAGTTCAAGGAGTGGGCTTTCTCCATTGAGCTGGCGATTCGGTCACTGGGAATCACCGACTCATCGGTGATGGTGGATTACGCAGCGGGCTTCCTGAGCGGCAACGCCAAGCTATGGTTCATCGCATCGTTGGATACGGGTGTGGAGTTCTCGACGTGGCCAGCGCTGCGTGAAGCCCTCGCCAAGGTGTACGGTCCGTTGCATCATCAAGAGCGGTTGCGACTGGATCTCTTCGCTGTCAGGCAGCACTCAAGGTTCGAGAGCTATGTCACCGAGTTCTCACGCCTAAGCCTACAAGTGCCTGAGATCGACGAGCTGACCCGTGGACTGCTGTTCGTAAATGGACTGCACCCATCTTGTCAAGACCCGGGTGCTGCGAGAGCACCCCACTGATCAGAGCCAAGCGATCAGGTCAGCGCAAACGGCGGACCAACAGCCGAACCCGATTCAGCACCGAAGTCAGCCCGTACGACCCCAAAGGCTAACACCGGAGGAGAGGCGTCACCTGAGTCGGCAGGGTGGATGCTTCGCTTGTCGGAAGCCAGGTCACCTAGCTCGGGATTGTCCCAGCAATCAACACCCAAACGCTGGTCGCCAGTGAAGAATGGCGTGCGCTCGCTGGCGACCAAGCGGAAAGCACCCAAGGGTTACCCGGTTGACATACGCAACCGTTACAGCGCACTAGAGCTGGAAGAACCGACGCTGCAAGCTGATTCGGAAGATGTTGCCGAACAGGAATCCCATGTCAGCAACGTTGATCTCGCAGTACAGGACACGGAGCTTCCTTTGGAGCATGACCTTCTCCGTGTTGAGGGCAGGATGAAAGGCCGCCGGGCAATTATGCTTATTGACTCGGGATCGACGCACGACTTCATATCGGAAGCTTTCGTGCAAAGAAACGGCCTTGTTACGGAGAGCAAGGACGAAACACTGAAGGTAACCCTGGCTGATGGCTCATCGACATCATCGGGACTGCAGAGGACCGGTCCGGTAAAGGTTATCGAGAAAGACTTCAGCGAAAATAGTGATACGGAGCATCAGGAGTCGCCGCCAATTGAGAGCATGCTCATATCTGGTTCCCAGGCTCGCCGCGAGTTGAGGAAAGGCGCGCAGGGAATCCTGGCGTGGATCAACGCTACTGACGACGAGGAGGAGGACAGCATGATACTCGGACATCTTTCCAGACGACCTGCCGACTGAGCTTCCGCCAGAGAGGGATGTCGACCATGAGATTGTGACTGAGGAGGGTGCCGTTCCTCCATCACGGGCTGCCTACCGTCTCCCCGAACCCGAGATGGACGAATTGCAAGCCCAGCTCACGGAACTCCTCCGCAAGGGCTTCATCGAACCCAGCAAGTCACCATACGGTGCCCCAGTCTTTTGCCTTAAAAAGTCTGATGGCTCATTGCGCATGGTTTGTGATTGGCGGAATTTGAACAGGATCACCATCAAAAACAAAGCTTGCCTCCCAAACATTGATGACCTGTTTGATACCATTCAAGGTAGCTCATACTTCAGTAAGCTGGATGTACGCTCGGGATACAATCAGCTTAGGATCCGTCAGGAAGATGTACCTAAGACGGCTATCAATACTCCCTTCGGTCATTTCCAGTTCCCGGTCATGGGCTTTGGATTAACTAACGCCCCTGCCACGTTTCAGTCACTGATGAACAGTATTCTCCAACCGTACTTACGGTGGTTTGTGGTAGTGTTTCTGGATGATATTCTTATCTTCAGCAAATCCTGGCAAGATCATCTTGAACATATCCAGACAGTTCTTGAGACGCTCCGGAAAAATAGGCTATTCTGTAAGCAGTCGAAATGTGAGTTTGGTGTCAAGGATGTTCTGTTTCAAGGGCATCCCGTCGACGGTGAATGTATCGCTCCAGATCCAAAGAAGCTTAAAGCAGTGAGGGAATGGCAGCCACCGACGACAGTTACGGAGGTGAGGCAGTTCCTTGGTTTTGCGAACTACTTTAGAAGATTTATTGAGCACTACTCTACTATATCGCGGCCATTAGTGGAGATCACTGGCAAACATGCCAGGTTCGAATGGAGTGGCCCCCGTCAGCATGCATTCGAATCCCTGAGACAGGCCTTGTTTCGTGCACCGCTGTTGAAACTAGCAAACGTGCAGAAGCCTTTCAGAGTTGCAACAGACGCAAGTGATTTTGCAATAGCAGGCGTCCTTCTCCAACAGGGGGAAAGCGATAGTGCTTGGCATCCTGTGGCATATGCCAGTCGTAAGCTGTCACAAGCGGAGCGAAATTACACTGCTTCAGAACGCGAAACCCTGGCGGTGGTGTTTGCACTGCGATCCTGGAGAATTTATCTATTCCAGCATTTTGAAGTGTTCAGTGACAGCATGGCCGTAGTCTACTTTAGCACAAAAGCCAATCTCACTAAGCGGGAAGCTAGATGGGTTGAATTTCTTGCAGACTATGACTTCACAGTTAATCACAAACCCGGCAAGGAACATATGGCTGATGCGTTATCCCGCCGCCCTGATCTGCGCGGGTCAGCAATTGGCAATGTAGTTGAGGAAAAGGATTGCCCATCCATCCTACCAGCACCCCATTTGAATACGATTGAGTTTGCTTTGGAACTGAGTGATAGTGTTGCTGAGATGATTTCGGAAGCATATCAGAATGACGAGCAGCTTTCCCCAATAATTCAGCGGCTGCGCGCCGATTCCTCTGATATTCTACACGAGCGGTACTATTGGGATGAAGAGTCCAGGTACCTATACCTCCGTGCAGCCCCAAACAATCGCTTGTGTGTACCCAAGTGTGCAGTAAGGCTTCAGCTCCTGCAGGAGTACCACGACTGTGTTACGGCAGGCCATCAGGGACGGGATCGTACATATTTCCGGCTTCGTCAATTCTTCTATTGGCCCATGATGGGCCTTGACGTGAAGAAATTTGTTAACTCTTGCGGCATATGTCAGCGCACTAAGGGTGGGTTGCCTCGATCCGGTTTGCTGCAATCGCCCCCAGTACCAGACACCCCCTGGAGAGATATTTCCATGGACTTTATCGTTGGCTTACCCCAGACCCCTCAGGGCTTTGATGCAATTTATACATTTGTTGACCGGCTTACAAAATATGTCCATTTAGTCCCCACGACTTCCAAAATTGACGCTAAGGGTTCTGCTGATTTGTATCTCCAGAATGTGTTTAGATTACACGGTTTGAGTTCCACTATTGCTTGTGATCGGGATCCAAGATGTACTTCTGAATTTTTCCTGGAATTGTTTCATCATTTAGGTACCACCTTGTCGTTTAGTACTGCCAATCGATGGGCAGACTGAGAGAATGAATAGAGTAATTGAGGATGTGCTTAGAACGTTTGTTAACCACAAACAAGATAATTGGGACAAGCTTCTGCCTCTTTGCGAATTTGCAATTAATAGTTCATATCAGTCTTCCACTTCTAGCACGCCGTTTTATCTAAATTATGGACTTAATCCCAAGTCCCCACCAGATTTCCTGGCACGGAGGGGAGGAGGGAGTGCCCCAGGCTGGATCCAGGATCGGGCGGATGCCGTCAAGTTGGCAAAGGACGCCATGATTGCCGCTCAGGCTAGACAAGCTCAGTATGCAGACAGGGGAAGGGTGCCCAGCAACCTGAAGGTTGGCGACATGGTGCTGGTGTACAAAGATTTCCTAACAACCGCAGAAGCCCGGGATCAGCCCTCACAGAAGCTACGCCCTAAGTGGTTCGGGCCCTACCCAATCATCAAGAAGATCGGACCCAACGCCTATCAGCTGGATCTACCCAGCGCTCTTCGGTGCAACCCTGTCTTCAATGTCACTGCTCTGCGCCGGTATGAGCAGAATACTATTCCCGGCAGGCGGCAGCCACCCCCACCACCGTTCATTCACTTGCACGGTCAGACCAGATACATGGTGGAGAAGATTCTTGACGATCGCCAGCGAAGGCATCAGACTCAGTACCTTGTCAAGTGGCAAGGGTCCCCAGACGACGAAGCCACCTGGGAGCCAGAAGGGAACTTGCTGGACGAGGCCGGTAGGCCGATAGTTGCTCTAAGGCGTTACAGGGCGTCCAGGGCATGTTAGTGACACTATGGTTACCGCGAAATGTTACTCGCTCAAATTCAATTGCACGTGTACCTTGAGAATTCCCACTTGATCCTTGTTGTGTTAAGCCATCCATTCCCCTCCTGTTTTAGATTTTCCCCATTTCCGCTATCTTTACTCGCCTGACTGTCCTTGGTTAACTTGCACGGTGCTTCAATTAGATGAGCGTTGTTGGGTTACACAAGCTAGGCATGGGTTGACACGATTTCATTTGATTATTCCCTTTCCACATATTCCTCGACTTCCTGGAGGCACCTGTGCCACGCTTATTAGTGAGGGATGGTGTAACAGTTCCCTGTTAGCGCTAACCTTATCTGCCCTCAAGCTCTGTATCTTGCACCTTTCCCTATCCTGTCAGCCCTCGCGTTATCACCTTAGGGCACAAAGTGCCCTATATCAGTTGTGTTGCCTTGAGCAAGCATTGTCTTTTCCAAGAATACCTTCAAACGGTTACATAGCCAATCTAGGTTTGCGATACGAACTTGACTTGGTGAAGCAGCAAGGCGGACCGATGCCGATACTGTGTTCCAGCGGTCAGAGGCTAAAAAAGGAAGAGAGGAGTAACCAAATCGAGAGGCGGCTCATAGCAGTATAAGTTCAAAAGAGTCTTGGGACATTGTGCAGATGGAGCTATGTGCCTTAGAATTGCACGAAGGCAGAAAAGGCTGTATAGAAATGCACTGCCAGAAAAATGAACGCAACTGAATTTAAGAAGACTCTTTTTATGGAGAAACGGATTGTTATGAATGTCAGGTTGTTTCGAGATAGACTACACTGAACATCTGCGGTGGGCGGAAAGCCAATTACAGTATGTAATGAACGGCGACAGATGCAGGTGAGAGAACCATATTCATGTTGTCGCAGACTGTGTACATAAGCATGGGTTGCATATTCCAGTGTAGTTTGGAATAAGAAATTTAAACAGAAATGTGGGCTTGGCTGCCATTGGGTCAACATGGTGAGGCAGCGCCGGAATACATAATTATTCCCGTAGCTATGCAGAAGACGTTACTTCAGTAACGTCTGGCGCTAGCCAGGGTCCACACAGCTTTAATTTGGTATTTGTGTGTGTGTGTTTGTTTGTTTGTGTCAAGCCTGGCGCTATGCCGTATCTGTCCCGTACCGTAACGTACCATAAAACACAGCTGGCCACATACAGCTGGTCGCAATATTCAAATAGGGCTTTCAAACGCATGATCATAACGTGAAGCAACTTGGAAGAATGGGTGTGAATGCGAAGTGTATTGGGGAATGCATGTAGGGCGATAGTGCGGGTTTATATCCCAGGATATGCCTTAAAAAATAGGAGAATCGAGGATATGCCTTAAAAAAAATAGGAGAATTGAAAAATTTATAACATCCCTATGCTTTGTTTGCCGTCATCAAGGTGGTAGACGGTGTCGTATTACCCTCGATCGTACCTGTCCCGTACCTATCCCGTACCGTACCGTACCATCAAAGACGGCTGGCCACAATGCATATTCAAATAGGGCTTTTAAATGCAAGATCATAACGTGAAGCAACTTGGAAGAATTAGTATGTATGCGAAGTGTATCGGGGGATGCATGCAGGGCGCGCGATAGTGCGGGTTCGAATATCAGGTTATGTCTTAAAAAAAGGAATTTGTTTAAGAATTTATAACATCCCTATGCTTTTTTTGTCTAGGTCATCAAGGCAAAAAAAGCATAGCGTAGGGCCCTGAGCTTCCAAGCTCTCGTTTCGATTTTCGAAATCTGAACAAGACTTTGATAGTTCGCTGCTGAGATGACGACTACACCATAGCTTCGTGGTAGAACATCGCTGAACATAACCTCGGGTCCCTGGCTCGGGATCTGGTGGTGACTGTCAAATGTTTCTTCAGACGTTTCCTGTTTGCAACTCCCTCAAACCCTCAAACTAACGAACATTCCCATTCAAGTTTCACAAGCGATGCGTGCCAGTGTCAAGTGTGGAAGTGTACCCGAAGCCTAGCTGGTCAGTGAGGGCACTGCGTGGTGTTGCATCATGTAAGCAGCTCAGAAGATCTCTGCTCCCTTGTTTCCTACCCAAGTGGGTAAATTTCTAAATCTGGCGGAATGAAGGTAAGTTCATGTCCGCTCGCATATCGCTCTCTAATTTGTAAAACATTCCGGTAAAGAGCGCTCTTTATCCCTCACCACCCTGATCTTTGCGTTTGCGAAAGGCACCTAAGAGTTGCATGGTGAGGTCTACGTAGCGGGCTTGTACATCAGCCCATGGTGCATAGTCGATGATACAACTACGAGTTGAATCAGGTTACGACGTCCATTTTCTCTCTCCAGGACTCATCAGACAATCATGGACATCTGGGAAAGGTGCCTGAACAGCGTAAATTTCTGCAAAACATGCGCGGTGCGTTTAACACCAGTTTTGTATACATAAAATCATGCATCATAACCTGAGAATCCCTCTCTCCTAGACAAAGACATAGACAAAGTGGCATGCAATATTCCATTCCTAACCACTAATATGGAAACAACAAAGACATAGACAAAGTGGCATGCAATATTCCATTCCTAACCACTAATATGGAAACAACAAACACATAGACAAAGTGGCATGCAATATTCCATTCCTAACCACTAATATAGAAATAGCATTCAAATTGTGTGGCTTTACAAGATAGCCACAAACGAGAGTGACGGAAACAATCACTGCGCAAACGCCAGCAAAAACGCACCGACATACACAAAGAGTGATGGAAGCCGAACCATGGAGGTGGCCAAGAGCAGCTAAACCGACCAAGGGTGTCAGCATCATCGCTCTTCATGTGCGCCATACAGAAAATACGGAATTAGAACAAATGATGTACAGGAGAAGTCCAGAGGGTTGTAAAGCTCCAAAGGGCTGGGACTCAATGCCCACACAAGTCTTACCAAATGGAATGAATAAAGTACTCACTTTCACAGGTCGTGATTCGCTTTGAAATTGATGATGAAACACAAGTGTAATGCGGCGAGGTGTAAAGTCGATATCCGGATTTGCAAGAAAGTCTGCGAACCATAGAGTTATCATTGGGTTGAGAGTATCCATTCTCCAGAGTTGAGCGATCACATGTCCCAGAATAGGCTACCAGCACAATACAGTGAAATTTAAAAAAAGTAGTAAATCCTCAGGAAAAATCAAAGAATCAAGGGCAATGTACGGAAGAGAGGTGAAAGAAACTGCGCAAGGAAGAAGACCTAAATGAACAGCGACAAATTCGTGACCCATAAAAATGGAACGAAATAGGGAAAACAGTTTCCTCTGAGACAAAAAATGCGATAATACTCATAAAAAGGACACACTTCAGGCTCATTACAAACATCTTGAGGTACAAGGTACAAGTTTGAGATCTAACAAACGTGAAGTTATTTTATTTGTTTCAATTTTTTTATACGATATGAAGTTGATTGTTCCAACTAGGAACACACGCTTCTTGCCGAACTTGACACTTGACTGACTCACGACTGCCATCCGGAGCACACGAGGAGCACGTCGCACCTTCCACTCGGCAAACCTGCAAGAAAGCACCACTCCCTGCTCAATACACAGTGTTTCGGGGAATTCACCCCTCATCAGTTGAGCTTGAGTAGGCTGAGGAAGATTGTGCCTGAAAAGCACCACTTATATACTGCTCTCCAGGCCAAACCATCACCAGGGATACAAACTTACAGAGACACTTTGTTTCCAGCGCGACAAACACCTCGTGAAGCTCCAGGTAGCAGCGTGAGTCAGAGTCGCTCATGGAGTTGTGCTAAACAGACGTTGAGAGCCAGTATAGCTATTCGCAACGCTGTCACCTCCAACAACTAGTCGCACGGCCGCGTGAGGGACAACAATACGAACTTAGAAGTTGCGACTTCGGCGATAATAGTCATGAAGTTGATTGTTCCAACTAGGAACACACGCTTCTTGCCGAACTTGACACTTGACTGACTCACGACTGCCATCCGGAGCACACGAGGAGCACGTCGCACCTTCCACTCGGCAAACCTGCAAGAAAGCACCATTCCCTGCTCAATACTGTAAGTTTGTATCCCTGGTGATGGTTTGGCCTGGAGAGCAGTATATAAGTGGTGCTTTTCAGGCACAATCTTCCTCAGCCTACTCAAGCTCAACTGATGAGGGGTGAATTCCCCGAAACACTGTGTATTGAGCAGGGAGTGGTGCTTTCTTGCAGGTTTGCCGAGTGGAAGGTGCGACGTGCTCCTCGTGTGCTCCGGATGGCAGTCGTGAGTCAGTCAAGTGTCAAGTTCGGCAAGAAGCGTGTGTTCCTAGTCGGAACAATCAACTTCATGACTATTATCGCCGAAGTCGCAACTTCTAAGTTTTTATACGATAGTCCACTATATTCCCGAATGTGTGCGAGAAGTGGTGGCGGGGCCAGGCTGCTCTGCTGACCTCAAAGGTCTCGGCGTCTACGCAGACAAAGCACCAGCAGGCAAGGTGTCCTCGCAGTCATTTACGTACAGGAGGAATAACGTAGGTACAAGGATGCCACCTTGTGGTACCCCTGTTTAGATAATTTATGGTGCAGGGAGGACTCTTGGTCGCCCACAACAGCCTGCAGGTGCCGGTTGTGCAAGTAGCTTTCCAGCCATCCGAGAACCGGGCCGTCTGGACCGTACACGGAAGCCTCGTGCAGCAGGCCAGTATGGCTGACTTTATCAAAGGCGCCTGCTATATCTGTCGCCAAAACACGGGCGGCTCCTCCAAGGTCGGTTCGATGTCTGCCTTTACAGTCATGCACAAACACTCAAGGACACAGGTTGAGGTTTGGAAGAATACAAGTAGACACAGGTGTGAAGAAGACAGGTAAATAACCAACAACCAGGTCAAGCCAAGCATGCACTGTAGGCGACTAGTCCAAGATGGCGCATGCTGGTTGTGATGTGATAATTATACATGTAAAATACATGACGTAATAGTCACGTGATAAGACATGAGCATCATATCACATCACACCCCTTCTGAGAAAAAACAGTGGTCTAGCATGGTTTACCTCAGCATCTAACTGAAAAGAATCAAATGCAGTGTACGAGAACGAGTGGGGACTGCGCACGTAGCAGAGAACAGAGCACTACCACAGCTAATCATAATTATGACTTAGTGCAGAGAACAGAGCACTAACACAATTAATCATATGACTTAGTGGAATGCGAGGCAATGTCCAGGCGGTTAAGTGCAGTGCGAGGGCGTTGGCTGCAGCGGAGCGGTTGCGGATCAGGAGGGGCAACGTTACGAGCAGGATTGCTAGCAGGCGGCGTGCAGGTTGAGGCTGGAGGGATAACAGCAGCAGTTATGGGTCGAATTAAGCCACAGTTGCGCCAGTAGGGGCGGCCACTGGGTACCTTGACGAGGTAGTCACGACTGCGACCGACGGCAACGATGACACCAATGGTGTGCCACAGCTTGGACCGTGGATCCTGGAGATCAACACGACAGCCAATGCGTAGCGGAGGGAGGAGATGAGTAGAGTCATCGTAGTGGGCTGCAACGGCGGCAGACTGCTTGGCTGCGGCAGAGTCAGCAGAGTCAGACTCAGCTTGCCATTCAGGGGCGAGGCTGGTGTGGTGAGCGATGACAAACGACGTAAGTGGCTGCCCATGCAACGCTTGGGCAGGGCTCCGGCCGTGGCCGCGTGGAGCATTGCGCCACTCCAGCAAGCCACATTGGAAGAGGTCGATTTCGAGTTTGCCATTGACAGTCGTCTTGGCGATCAGGAGCTTCATAGCTTAAACAGCCGACTCGGCATGTCCGTTGGATTGCGGAACGGGTGGCGAAGACATGATGTGGTCAACTTGCCAACAGGTACAAAAATCGGCAAATCGGCGAGAAGACCTGTGGGCCGCCATCTTTGGTGAGACCTTTAGGAACTCCCATCCTTGACGTGAGAAGAGGTCAGCAGTAACGGACTTGAATGGGAGAGGGAGCGACGATCTTCAGTAACACGGAGGGGCTCCTTGCATTGGGATGGGCCACGCAACCGGCACATCTCACAACTGCGGACTGTGTTAGAGATGTCGTTAGAGATGTTCGGCCAGAACACAATTTGGCGGGCACGACGTTGAGCACGGGTGAGACCTTGGTGTTCTGAATGCAGGTCCTGGAGGACACGAGAACGGATGGCACGAAGACCGACCACGCGTTGGCCCTTAAGGAGGAGGTGTTCACGGGCTGTCAAGCACGGCTTGACAGCAGGGTCGGCATTAGCCGAATTTGTCGAGAAACCATGACGAACGGCGTGCACGAGTGCTTGATAATCAGGGTCAGCTCTCGCAGCTTCGAGTAGCTCGCTGAAGCGGAGATCGACGCTACGGCGTCATCATCTTGCCGTAGGCACGTAGGCACGCATGAACAGCGGGCGAACTGAGAGCTGGATTCTCTCCAAATTCATCACTGTGAGGCGTGTCAACTGGAAGCCGAGAGAGAGCGTCGGAAAAAGCATTGTCGGTGCCTTTGCGCCATTTGGCAACAAACTGGATCGGGCGCAGCTTCAGCGTCAAACGTTGCAATCAGGGGTTCTCGAGCCTCTGTCATTTTCACTGACGTGCCCAGTTCCGTCTGCCTCATTCTCTGGAACGACGGGATTGCCAGACCACCCAACCGGGTGGGCAGTCTCAGCATGCGTAAGTCCTCCTCGGTGAAGGCACCATGACCTGTCAGTGCTGGGAGAAACTCGAAAGCGATGATATTGTCTAAGCTCTTCACGTACTCATCCGGGATGGGCACAGTGCGGAAAAGGTACACCCACCTACCCCGTAAACCATGGGTTAGTGCTGCGTAGGCAGCATGTGGTTCCGTCTTGGCAAACCGAGACAGCTTCCGCAACTCGCGCAACCAACCATCCACCCTCTTCCTCACGAGACCAGCCACCGCCTCAGGCTCACCAACAAATGACCTTAGATACTTGGCTGCGTCGGTCACTATGTGGATCCCGGTACCAGCAAACACTTCGGACGCCTCCTCAGCTAAGTCTGGCTTGACGAGCAGAGTTGTCTTGTCTAGGTTGGTATGGTAGTATGGTACCCATAGAGGCACCCACGCTCCTTTATGGTAGTCCACCAATCCCGCACCACACACAATCTCCCTGCGCCACTGGAGTCGTCCGCATACCAAATTTGGTTGACGTCTGTGTGTTCCCGTTGCAGGTGGTTGACGAGGGGGAGCGTCCCGAGTGCATAGAACGCCATAGATAGCGGATCTCCCTGAGTCGTGCCTTCGTGTGAAGCTATCTCCCCGCCACCAGAGACGAACAGGCGTGCACTGGACTGATAACAGTTCTGAAGTGTGGCGGACAGGACAGGGCACAATCGCTGGACATTGTGTAGCGCAGCCTGTCTATTGATGCTGTTGAAGGCGTTACTCGCGTCTACCAGCAGAACCGCATCAGTGACAGGTTGCTCATAAATTTGCCGCATCGCGTGGACAGCTGCCTAGATTCCACCAGGAAGCCCAGCGCACTTCTGTATGTATCCACACGCTGATTCCACATCCTGCGAGGCGATGCGCAGAATCGCCTTGGCCACAATGCTTCTTAGAACCTCGCCCACGCCGATCGAGCGGACACCGGGCTGTTTATCCAAGGCAATCAAACGGCACGCTAGGAATGGAACCAGTCCCTCCGCGGGCAGAAGACCAGTCGCCAATATGCGGGAAAGACCAGCGATGGCCTGACACATGCCTGTTGAGGCTCCACCAAAGGCAGAGCACATACGCCTCCAACAGGCTGCGTCCAGCCCAGAGGGGCCAGCTGAACCCTCCGACTGCAATGCCACGGATTTCAGCAGCTCAGCGGTGAGGCCTTCAAAGCGAATGCTGTTCACAGCCGGAGCATCACCGGGCAACATTGCCTCCGGACCCGCTGGCTGCGCCTTCGGATGCTTGCCAAGCAGTGCGTCCTTCACCTGGGCCGATGAGCCGTCCCTGAGAGTTATGGTGTCATCAATGTTCAGTACACCGCCCGACTTCCCCGGCTGGTCCGGGTCCAAACAGCGCAAGCCACTATGCACACGACCCTGGCACATGAGGTCAGAGAACCGACGCGCCTCGTCTTCTTCACCTTGCCTTCGACCACCCCTGTGCGGACGGAACAAGGAGTCTTGTAAGCAGTCACCTTCACTCATCAGAGCATTCAGGTCTCCGGCACGCCACAATGCTATTCGCCTCTGTAGATACTCAGCGTTCTCCTTGGCCTTGTTAATATGACGTGTAGACTGCAGCAGTAGGCATGGCAGTACAGAAAAACGGTAAAGGGCCACTTTGTCCGTTCCTCCAGAATCAATGAAGCGCCACAGCTCCACGATGAGAAGGTTCACAAAAGCCTTGCAAGTGGAGCCAGTCGGAATCTTGAAGAACAGTTTCCTCCAGTGGACAATCTTGTCATACGCAAGTCTTATTGAGGCGGGAGTCGTTGGAGGGTCGCCCTGGCGCAGACTCCGCCGCTGCTCTATCTCTGCAGGAGGCTGTGCCTGGTTCGCAGCCGGCAGCATCCCTTGGCCCCCGCAGACTGAAGAGGAAAGAGCAGATTCCACTCCCTCCTGACCAGTATTCATTGTATCAGATGAGTCCCCGGGGTCCATCAGATTCACAGGAGGTGCTGTAGGTAAAAGGATGGTATATCCTCACCTGCTGACGACGATGTCGGCGCTGCTGCTGATGACAAGTGCCTGGCGCGAGGTCTTAGTGTCTCGGAATTATCACTTGTTGGGTATGTTCTTCTCAACCAGGCTGGAGGCTGATTATGCCAATTAGCGCTCTGGTCAGCACCTACGGTAACACCCGATCGAGCCACATTCTTCCCGACGACCTTTGACCCAGGAGCCACACCCTGCACCGCGATATGCGACCCCACGGTCATAGGCGTGATTTGCTCGCTATTCCGACAGATTGGTGGTTCGTTGCGGCCGGGATAACAATCCACACACGGCTTTCCGGAGCTCTTGCACGAGCATCTTGCACATTTGCCTGTTATCTGACACTGGCAGCAGGGCATTGTCACCAATGGAGTTGTCACAGGGAATCGCGAGGTCAGCAGGACATGAAGACGCGAAGACCGACAGCAACGTTGAGACGGGCAGGCCCGTAGCCGGCAAAACAGATGAGAACAGCCTCGCACCCAAAGGTGGGGTTTCCCGCATGGAGCGCACGGCGGCCTGCTACTGTGTAGGGTCTCGCCAGTGAGGAAGCGTTCCAAGTCTCACACGTTCCAAACCTCCGCCCTTGATCAAACCGAAGGATAAAACTACAGAATAGTCAGGCCCAACAATCAGGCAGCCAGGGAAAGCAGTCAGCAACAGAGCAAGCCTCCTCCTCAGCCTAGGGCAGCTGAAATCCAAACAAGTCACCACGAGCGCATACAGATAGAAATCGTCTACAGTGCTTGATTCGGGAGAATCGTGATAGGGTCTGTTCTACTTACCTAACACCGCTTATGGAGCTGCATCTGCGCTTTGATCTTGGAGTCTACCTGAGTCTTAAGCCCGATTCATACTTCATGTCGCGTACGGGAAACGCGTCGCGTCGAGAAAAAGTTGATCTGAGCTCATTTATTTCGCGTACGGGAAACCCATCGCGCGACGGTCGTGCGATGGGTTTCCCGTACGCGAGATGAAGTATGAATCGGGCTTAACGCGAAACGCAATTTTATTGTTTTCATTACATGAATTTCATGAATGCGTTAGACACCACAAGTATTCCGGAAAACGTTGTTATCAGAACATCTGCTCCATACCATTAAAGTGCAAAAATAAGGCACAAGAGCATGATCATTACAAGTGTGGCACTTATATACAGAAGCCTTGCTTGGTAGTTTAACATGTTTTTCGATTTTGACAACATGTTACAAGGCGAGGACGCGTAGTGCTCCTGACTACAACCATAACCCGGTCGAACCTGGGTTTTCCCAATACGGTTCAAATGGTCGCAAGACCGGGACTCTGCCAACGGGTTATGGTTGTAGTCAGGAGCACTACGCGACCTCGCCTTGTAACATGCTGTCAAAATCGAAAAGTGTGGTACTTACCAGTGCAGTTTGGTAGAGGAGTTGTCGTATTTTTACTTAGGCAGGAAACCGTCTCCGGCCCAATTAGTACGAAGCCATCGAAACAAGCAGCCTTGAAGGCTGGAGCCCTTTCCATCAAAATCCCATTGAGGAGAACTGGTGTTGAGCATATGTTGGCTGGCACATACAAAACAGTATAAGGCGTGAAGGAGTGACTAGAATTGTGCTGGACACGCTATATCGTAGGTGTTTGTACTTCGAGAAGTAGGGAGCTAGCCGTTCACAAACTAAGAGTGCACGAGGGAGGGACTATTGTGACAGTGCTAAGCCAATTGGAGCTTGGAACCGATATGGTTTGCAGAAACTGGCTACAATGTATGGAATATTATAGAGTAGGGCGCAGTGTTGTGCAGTTTACCCCTCAATACAACGAGAGAGCTTGGAAGCTCAGGGCCCTACGCTATGCTTTTTTCCCTTGATGACCTAGACAAAAAAAAGCATAGGGATGGTATAAATTCTTTAAAAAATTCCTTTTTTTAAAGACATAACCTGGGATTCGAACCGGCACTATCGCGCGCCCTGCATGCATCCCCCGATACATTTCGCATACATACTAATTCTTCCAAGTTGCTTCACGTTTTGATCTTGCATTTGAAAGCCCTATTTGAATATGCATTGTGGCCAGCCGTCTTTGATGGTACAGTACAGTACGGGACAGGTACGGGACAGGTACGATCGAGGGTAATACGATACCGTCTACCACCTTGATGACGGCTAAAAAGCATAGGGATGTTATATATTTTTCAATTCTCCTATTTTTTCAGGCATATCCTGGGATTCGAACCCGTTCCTGCCCCACTTTGCCATACTTCGACCAGACAAAGCGACAACAAAGACCCGGATCGTGTTTGACGCATCGGCGAAGTATGAGGGTACATCTCTCAACGACACGATGCTTCCAGGGCCGAAGCTACAGCGGCAACTTCCTAGCGTTCTGACCCGTTTTCGCCAGAATCCAGTAGCCATCGTTTGTGACATCGCAGAAATGTATCTGCGCATCGGACTGCGTCCTGAGGGCCGGAAGTATCCCCGATTTCTATGGCATGACCTGGATGACACGGCGGCTCCGCGAGTATGTGAATTTCAACGACTGGTTTTCGGATCTAACGCATCGCCATTCTTGGCGCAGTTTGTATCCAAGCACGCTAGAGCCCATCAGCAAGCAGTACCCGTTGGCAGCCGAAACTACGCTTGCGGCAACGTATATGGACGACTCCATGGATTCTGCGATGGATGGCGTCGAAGACTTAATGCTGTACGAGCAGCTGCCGGAATGCTGGCAGGGAGCAGACATGCACGCCCAAAAATGGCTCTCGAACTCCAAAGTAGTTATGGAGAAAGTGTCCAAGGAGGATCGAGCAAGCCAGATCGACCTCGACTCCCCGCAGCTGCCAAGCGTCAAGACACTTTGACTACTGTGGTCGGCCACGACCGACATCTTTGCGTGCAAGCCAACAGCACCAAGCCAGCAGCGCATCACCAAGCGCTCATTCTTGAGTGCGACAGCTAGTGTCTTCGACCCGCTGGGGTTCGGTTCCCCGTTCATCATGAAGTCACACATGTTGGTGCAGGACATGTGGCTACAAGGCATGGACTTGGATGAGCCGCTCCCTGATGAGCTCAATCAACGCGTAACCGGATGGTATACTGATCTAGCAGCTCTCTCCCATCTCAGCATCCAGCGCTGTCTGCAAGAAGTTAATGCAGGCAACCCCGTCAGTAAGCAGATCCACGTGTTCGCTGACGCGTCTGAAGGCGCCTGCGGCGCTGTGAGCTATCTGCGCTGCACGTATGAAGACGGCCATGTGTTGACCGCAATCATCGCAAGTAGATCCCGTGTCGTCACTGTTTCAATTCCCAGGCTAGAGGTGTAAGCTGCTGTAATTGGCATGGAACTAGCAGTTTGGGAATCCGGCATCCTCGGTCTACCGGTCCACGACAATGTCATCTGGACAGACAGCCTTAACGTCCTGTACTGGGTTCGGAACCATGCGCGGAACTTCAAGCCATTCGTTGCAACGCGCGTAGGTGAGATTCAGCAACGCACTATTCCCAGCCAATGGTGCCATGTGCCGACGAATGAGAATCCAGCAGATGTTTTGTCCCGTGGTTCGTCAGCTGGTGCTCTCATCGATGATGCGCTCTGGTGGTTGGGTCCCGACTTCCTCCGCAAAGACGAGGATGAGTGGCCGACAATGCGTCTCAGTGAGCCAAGATCTACTACTCACCTGGAGCAGAAGAACAACGCAAAGTCTGTCCAAGCACCGGTTGCCTTGGTAGCAGTCACAGCTCCTGACGCCGAGCTACCCTGGTTACTCGACCCGATACGATTCTCAATCGTCTTCTCCGACAGCGCGCTTGGGTGACGCGCTTCGTGCAGAATTGCCGAGTGCCAACTGAGCGGCGACACACTGGTCCGCTATCCGTAGACGAGCTCGAGAGCAGAAAAAACAGTATCATTGCTGGTGCGCAGGAACAGGCGCTGGCAGAGGAATATCGTCTTGTGAAAGAAGGCAAGTCCATTCCCACCACGAGCAAACTCGTTAAGCTGCGACCTATGTTGAATGATGATCAACTGCTATGCGTTGACAGTCGACTGCGAAACGCGGAGATACTCGAGCAGCCAGCCAGATGCCCTGTCATCCTGCCACGCGGGCACTGGGTCACTCAGCTAATTGTGAAGGAAGCCCATGAGCAGAGCCATCATGCTGGCGGAGTAAGTCACACGTTGGCTCTCTTGTCGCAGACGTATTGGCTGTTTGCTGGACAAGAGGAGATCAAAGCGTGGAAAAAGAAGTGTACCCATTGCCAACGACAATCAGCAAAGCCAGGAATGCAGATCGTGGCACTGCTACCGACCGTCCGTGTGCCTCTGCCCATGCGAGCGTTCTCCCGAGTAGCAGTGGACTACGCTGGACCCTTCACCACCAAGTAAGGTCGCGGAAAGCCGCGTGCGAAGAGGTACTTGTTCTTATTTACGTGTATGCAGTCTTGCGCGGTGCACTTTGAGATGGCCGTTAGTCTTGACGTGGATGAATTCATAAACACCTTCATGCGGATGACGAGTAGGCGTGGTGTTTCACTACAGGTTGTGTCCAACAATGGCACCAACTTCATAGGTGCTGCCAATGAACTGCGGAGATTAGTGGGCGCGATGAATGAAGGCGTGGACTGACGATTAGCGGACAACGGAGTTCGGTGGTCCTTCAGTCCCCCCGCTGCCCCTCACTTCGGTGGCGTCCATGAGGCGCTCGTCATGTCAGCAAAGCGCGCCATCTATGCGATCCTGTCGGGCGCGGAAGTCAATGACGAAGAACTCATGACCGCAGTGACTGGCGCAGAGGCACTACTGAATTCAAGGCCACTGACGTACCAGTCGGCCGACGCGAGAGATCTGCCGCCACTGACGCCCAACCATTTCCTGTATGGACACCAAGGCGAGCCATTTGTTTCCAGAGGAACGGACACCGTGGAGCAAGGCCATCGACAGCGCTGGCGGGTCATCCAGAGTCTGGTGTTGCAGGTGTGGAAGCGCTGGATGACCGAAATGCTCCCCCTGCTTCACCCACGAGCAAAATGGCGCGGGCCGCAGCCCGATCTCAGTATCGATGATGTTGTGCTGATCCTCGACGCTGCTGCACCACGAGGCCAATGGAGGCTCGGCCGGGTAGAGCAGCTGTTCCCTGGAGTCGATTGGTGGGTCAGAGTGGTGCGAGTGAAGGTCGGTGACACTAAGTTAGTCTTTACTTGTCCGCCCCATCGCACAGCTGTGCAAGATTGCCGCAGATTGACTCTGTGTGTGAGCGGCACATTTTTGTTCTTATCGCTCTCTCCACTGCTTTCTGTTTGGTTTATTTCTTTATCGTTTAATTTTTTGTGTACTTGATTAAATCTGGTTTAATCAAGGTAGGGGAGGATGTTCAGAAGGTCTTCCGATGAGACACACTGATTGTGACGTCGTGATGCATTCCATATATCGCATGTTACATACTAAGAAGTTTACTACTCGCTGTGCCTTGCACGCCGCGACACACTTGGACTATGCATGATTTTTCCGTGTGATGCGTTGTATGCACCACGTGGCTGCTGTTATTTGAATTTATTCCCGTAGCTATGCAGAAGACGTTACATGTACTTCAGTAACGTCTGGCGCTAGCCAGGGTCCACACAGCTTTAATTCCCGTAGCTATGCAGAAGACGTTACTTCAGTAACGTCTGGCGCTAGCCAGGGTCCACACAGCTTTAATTTGGTGTTTGTTTGTTTGTTTGTTTGTTTGTTTGTTTGTTTGTTTGTGTCACGCCTGGCGCTATCCTGTATCTGTCCCGTACCGTACCGTACCAACAAAGACAGCTGGCCACAATATTTTTGTTTGTTTGTGCCATCGGCATGCCTGGCGCTATCCCGTACCTGTCCCGTACCATCAAGTGTACGGTACCATCAAGAGAATGAGTATATATGCGAAGTGTATCGGGGAATGCATTCAGTGCAGTAACATTTTGTGTGGATTTATGTGCGAGGCCGAGATCCCACTAGCAGGCTGGCTGGGTCGCCTGTCGAACAGCCCGGGAATCGCATGTAGGCCGATAGCATAATAATTATAACGTGTATACAGTCATGTAGATGTATAGCAGGGAGTCATATTATGTAAACGACTCCCTGCTGTATGGGGAGATTTTCTGGAAAGAAATATGAAGTAGGGAGACGAGTAAATGCAATTAGAATGGATGTTAGTTGCCGTCAGTATAATAAGAAGAAGAAGACGAACGCCCGTGATCGGCAGAGTCAGCGCCGGTCCCAGGAAACGGCAGGACAGACATCCCGTCGACTCCAGAACGCCCGTGATCGGCAGAGTCAGCGCCGGTCCCATAGCTATGCAGAAGACGTTACTTCAGTAACTCATTGAAACGTTTTTGCAATACAATGATGTAGCTAATCAAAGGAAAAAACTTTTCCATCAGTTCTAACAACATGCACGATGAGCTAGGCAACAAAGCATAGCGCAGGGCCCTGAGCTTCCAAGCTCTCTCGTTTGGTATTTGTTTGTTTGTGTGTTTGTTTGTTTGTTTGTTTGTGTCACGCCTGGCGCTATCCCGTATCTGACGGCAAAAAATCATAGGGATGTTATAATTTTTTCAATTCTCCTATTTTTTTCAGGCATATCCTGGGATTCGAACCCGCACTATCGCCCTACATGCATTCCCCCATACACTTCGCATTCATACCCATTCTTCCAAGTTGCTTCACGTTATGATCTTGCGTTTGAAAGCCCTATTTGAATATTGCGGGCAGCTGTATGTGGCCAGCTATATCCCTACCGTACCGTACCAGCAAAGACGGCTGGCCGCAATGCATATTCAAATAGGGCTTTCAAAAGCAAGATCATAATGTGAAGCAACTTGGAAGAATTAGTATGTATGCGAAGTGTATCGGGGGACGCATGCAGGGCGCGATAGAGCGGGTTCGAATCCCAGGTTATGTCTTAAAAAAAGAATTTTTCAAAGACCGGGTGATGCATGCAGGGCGCGATAGTGCGGGTTTGAATCCGAGGTTATGTCTTAAAAAAAAAGGAATTTTTTAAAGACCGGGGGATGCATGCAGGGCGCGATAGTGCGGGTTCGAATCCCAGGTTATGTCAAAAAAGGATTTTTTCAAAGACCGGGGGATGCATGCAGCTCGCGATAGTGCGGGTTCAAATCCCAGGTTATGTTTTTACAAAAAAGGATTTTTTAAAGAATTTATTCCCGTAGCTATGCAGAAGACGTTACTTCAGTAACGTCTGGCGCTAGCCAGGGTCCACACAGCTTTAATTTGGTGTTTGTTTGTGTGTTTGTTTGTGTCACGCCTGGCGCTATCCGTATCTGACGGCAAAAAAGCATAGGATGTTATAAATTTTTCAATTCTCCTATTTTTTTCAGGCATATCCTGGGATTCGAACCCGCACTATCGCCCTACATGCATTCCCCATACACTTCGCATTCATACCCATTCTTCCAAGTTGCTTCACGTTATTATCTTGCGTTTGAAAGCCCTATTTGAATATTGCGGGCAGCTGTATATGGCCAGCTGTGTTTGATGGTACGGTACGGTACGGGAGACGGTGTCGTATTACCCTCGATCGTACCTGTCCCGTACCTATCCCCTACCGTACCGTGCCATCAAAGACGGCTGGCCACAATGCATATTCAAATAGGGCTTTCAAATGCAAGATCACAATGTGAAACAACTTGGAAGAATTAGTATGTATGCGAAGTGTATCGGGGGATGCATGCAGGGCGCGCCATAGTGCGGGTTCGAATCCCAGGTTATGTCTAAAAAAAGGATTTTTTAAAGAATTTATAACATCCCTATGCTTTTTTTTGTCTAGGTCATCAAGGCAAAAAAGCATAGCGTAGGGCCCTGAGCTTCCAAGCTCTCTCGTTTGTATCTCTCGTGCTTATCTTTCTGGATACAACCTAATTGTTTTCCGTTCTGTTCTGGCGGTGTTTTGGTCTTACCAAGACGTTGTCAGCCAGTCAGTTTTGCTTGTCAGAAAAGTAATGAAAGTTGATGAACACCTCTGAAACTCACTCTCCTATTCGGCCTCATTTCCTGTTAACACAAGCATCTGCATGCCGCACTCACACAACGAGCAACCAGTTTTGGGAATAGGAGGGTTTGTTTGTCAATTGCTTTGCCAGGCTCCGAGTGAGTGACAGCTTAGAGCTGTGTGAATGTGTGTGTATGGCAGCTGGGCAGGGCCCTGCTGCGGAGGCTAAGTGATCCGTATGGAGGCAGCCGGGCAGGGCCCGGCTGCGGAGGCTGAGTGAGCCGTTTTGAGAGGCTGAGTGAGCCGTCTGAGTGTGATAGCCTGAATGAGCCGTATGAGGAGCCTGGTAAGCAGGGTTGACTCCCCTCCATGTATTTACAGAGTTTCGCCGGTAGACGGCATCGGTGTAGTTATTGTAGGCCGGTATGATAATGGATACCGACAGGAGAGAACTAGAACAGGAAACAGGATGATGACAATAGTGGATTGCGTGGGTCACCGGGGTTGAGAAAGAAATCCACTCCCAATGCGGACACAGCAAGAACTGAAATCAGGAACAGTGGACTTCGGAGAACAATGAGCGCGTGAGAGTTTGTTGGGAACAGAGCATGCGCCTTCTTTGTTAACATATTTTTACGCGTGCGCAAAAAATCATTTAGCTCAAGCATCTGCATGCCGCACTCACACAACGAGCAACCAGTTTGGGTAATAGGAGTGTTTGTCAATTGCTCTGCCAGGCTCCGAGTGAGTGACAGCTTAGAGCTGTGTGAATGTGTGTGTACGGCAGCTGGGCAGGGCCCTGCTGCGGAGGCTGAGTGAGCCGTATGGAGGCAGCCGGGCAGGGCCCAGCTGCGGAGGCTGAGTGAGCCGTATTGAGAGGCTGAGTGAGCCGAGGCTGAGTGAGCCGTCTGAGTGTGAGATGCTGAATGAGCCGTATGAGGAGCCTGGTAAGCAAGGTTGACTCCCCAACTAGAGAACCTCCTACTCACTGTTAACTGTAGAGGGGGTGCCACAGATTGTGGACAATAGTAGAGTGATATTGAGTTACTGAGTGTACAGTCGGTACATTGGTGACATTCGGTTATGCTCTGGCACCAACAATAAGTGGGCTCAGTCTATCTGATCAGCGCTTACCCAGGACCGGTGCTGCAAGCTTTCATGGTAGTTTGCATGTGGACTTCCGTCACTCGGCAGTGCAAGGCACGGCCGAAGTCTCCCCAGGAATGGACGGAAGAGCACGCACGGGAGTGGGCATGTGAGCGGCGGTAGGGTGGCACGAATGGAATCGCTTGAAATCTTGCCTGGAGAGAGCGTCAGCAAGGATGTTGGTAGTTCCAGGTATGTGACGGGCGGTGACCATAAAGTTGCCCTCGGCGCAGATGAAGAAGAGCTGCCGTAGGAGTGACATCACATTAGGACAGCGACTGGTGCCAGACTTGAGAACAGCGGCGACAGCTTCGTTATCGGTATGGAAGCGGATACGCTTGCGACACCACTGGTCGCCCCACGTAGCACATGCAATGCAGATGGGATACAGCTCCTTGAACGTAATGCAGAGCGGAGTGTGTTGTGGTGACCAGGTGTCGGCGAACCAATGCGTGCCGTAAACTGCGCCATGCCCGATGTCGCCAGATGCGTCAGTTTCTATCAGGATGTCGCTGGCGAGCGTCTCCTGGAGGCCATCGAGGCCATCGAGTAGGTGAGACCACAAAAGCAGGTCCAGATGACATTCTGGAGAGAGACGGATGCGGTGGTAGGGCTTGGAAACGTTGCGCGTGGCATCATACAGTCGGCGCATGAATGTACGGCCGGCGTGATGACGCGGCTGGCAAAGTTCAGCTTGCCCAACAGCTGTTCAAGCTCCCGTAGACGGCAGGATTGGCGTTGGCGAAAGGCCAATAGTCTTGAGCGGATGTCGTCAACCTTGTCCTGTGGGAGACGAGCCACTTTCTGGACGGAGTCCAGTTCGATGCCCAGGAAGGTGAGACAGGAGGTTGGGCCGACTGTCTTTTCGTCGGCAATGGGAACTCCCAGGTAGCGGAACACGGAGAGGACTGCGTTCAGACGCTGCGCAAGAAATCCACTGCCAATGCGGACAAAGCAAGAACTGAAATCAGGAACAGTGGACTTTGGAGAACAATGAGCGCTTGAGAGTTTGTTGGGAACAGAGCATGCGCCTTTTGTGTTAATATATTTTTGCGTGTGCGCAAAAAATCATTAATAGTTCAATACTACACTTGAAAATATCGCCATTCCGGCAACAGGCTCTCAGCTGCACCAAAGAGATAAATAAATAACTTTGCCAATATTTCACTCATTATGGGCGAAATATTGGCAAAGTTATTTATTTATCTATTTGGTCCAGCTGAGAGCCTGTTGCCGGAAGGGCCGTATTTTCAAGTGCAAGAAATACGCTGCAAAGGAGTTAGGGAATTCAGAAGAAAAGTTCCATACTAAATAAAAAATAATTAATAAAATAGTATAAGACTCGCTCTGAACCACGATATGCGACCCATGGAAGTCTAAAAAGTAACCAATCTTACATGATACTTTGATCAGCGAGATACTGTTTCGCCATGGCTATCGAGGCCAAACGGAGGCTGCCTGCAGTTGGTCCAATATGCCAACAACTCTGGAAGGGATGAGTATTAAATTTTATTGATTTTGTTTGTGTTGGAATCCCAGGAACAACGCTATCCCGCTTGTGGATCCTGAAACTGCTGCTCGGTAGTTTAAAATACAATTTGGAAAAGAAGTAAATATAGCTTTCGGTTGAAAATGGCGAGCGCAATGTTTCATCGTTCATCACTTACGTTCACAGGTTGGCAATGGTGTATGACCGTTTTTGGTGCAATTAACAGTCTTACTGCCTGTCAGCTTGTAACCTAAATCGCATTCAACTGTGTAGAATGGTGAATTTCCACGTATAGATCCGCCAGTCACAGTTATGGTGCATACGGGGATTTCTGAAGACCAATAGACAGTGAACAGGAATTGCATGTAGGCACACTCTTGCCTTCGATGTAAGGCCAACGCAAGTCCTAATGGCAAACATTCCGAAAATTGAGTGAGACTATTTACATTAATACTAGCGACATCAATCACGTGACCAAAAGGCATAAGCTATTTTGTCGCATGAATGTACGGTGCAAGCATGCCGTGCATGGAACAATTTCTAACGACGCTCTACGCCTGCCTTCACATTATTCATGTGGCCACCGCCTTCGACTTTAGGCGATGGTTAACAGTGTGTCGCATGTCGTGAGTCATCGATTTTTTGATATATCACTCCGAAAATTTTATTTTTCAATGCAAATTTTCGGCATCTCAGCTACCTTGCCCGTCAATGGCCACGTCACCATCGTGTTCAGAGTCCTCGAATTAGTCTATATAGGTTGATGGTAAGGTTCTCCTCCGTGGCAGTTTTTAGGAGTTTGAAGAATTTTTGCGCAGCGGCTGAAGTGGGGCTATGGTGTGCACTATTTGAGGGGTTCTGTGTGACGGAGCAAGCCAACGTTCGGCTTGAAAATTCGCTTATTTTCTTCATGTCAAGATTCTGGAAGGGCTTGAGCAGGAGGGGATTATTTCAATCCAACGAAATAGAGGACATCCCGTCCAACATGTACATGTACGACGGTTTCTCTTCATGAGGTCCCAGAAACCCACGTTAGTGCAATCGCTCCACATAGAATTGTAATCAGGGCCTCTGACAATTGCATACCTAGTTTGTGACCTCGTAACTCTAGTTTTGGACAAGGTATACCCTTTAAAATTTGTGTGTGTTCATCAGAGGTTTCGCTTTCCAGTCGTGTAACTTGTTGGCCCTAATTCCGATCTTAGAATTTTGGACTAGAGGCACCACTAATACGCTAGCTCGCTTCATTAAAATCGAAAGCTCGTCGTTATTGGAGTGTTTCCGCATCCATCATACTTCCTATTGCTCGTCCTTATGCCAGTGCAGGCAGGCACAGTGGTTTGGTCTAAGACCATGATTGAGGAACGAGAGGTACCAGCCAGGTTCAAGTCATGTTTGGAAGGGGAAGTATTTTGTCCAACCATGCAGCGATTCATAGTGAATTGAGAACTCGTGGCCTAGCATGAGCAAAACATGGACGTGGCAAATGGGATTTAGGCCTTTGGTTGGTGGATCTGATCTATCCTCCCCCACCGTTTAGGAGCCGCATCTGACGCCTGATCATGGGGTGATGGCGTCCCAAGGAAGCGGAAAGGTGGTTCTTAACCAGGGAATTGTACGATTCCTTGTTCTTGACCTCACCGGTATGCAAACCCGTCGAATTTTTATATATATTTTTATGCCAAATCGAAGTTTAATCAATCTCTAAAAAGGTATCCAATACTCCTCAAATTCGGTACTTACTGTCGCATGTCGGCAGAGTAGTATGTTGGTTGGTTCCATTACAGGTGACCTTGCTATGACCAAACAGGTGATATCCTGTGCTACAGATTATGGTGTATACTGGCCCAGCTGCACTTCTTGCACCATTGGGAATATTGAACGAACACGTGTAAGCTGAGACCCAAACAAACAAACAAACAGTTCAACCGTGCTAAACAACATCCTAATCTTGCTTCTCACAATTCACTGTTTCTGTTGCATTCTGGTACAAGTTTCACTCCGTTCTGAACGGGCGACAAGTGCCTACAGTGCAAGTATACCGTACATAACCGTGCCAAAGGGTTCGGTTGGTAGTCCAAGAACATATCAAATGTGCCAACACATGCCCAGGGTTGAATGCTTCATCTCAATACGAAACACAACAGAACCATAGATCACATATTCACAACAGTTACATTCATCGCTTGGAAGAACATTGGCCTTACTCCAGAGCATCATTATCTGAAACGAATACCGGTAATGTAGTGTAGAATAAGTTTATAACGATCTGGTTTCGAACCACCCCGAGCTGTTGAGTGCCAAACCTGTGCATTGTTCGGACCTACCCACAACGAAGATTTCGTTCAATATATTATCATGCTATGCAGAACCATGCTGATTTTCTATGCAGATGTATTTTATTTTCACTCCACAATATGCGATCTGTCACCAGGCAATCAAAACGATGCAAAATATGGTCGTCTTTCCTGGCCAACAGTGCAATATTAGGATTTGTACTAGACATTCTTTGTCTGTTCAGATTTACTGCAGTGGGCAAGAAAGTACCACTCCCTGTTCAATAACCTGTGTTTCGGGGAATTAACCCCTCATCAATTGAGCTTGAGTAGGCCGAGGAAGATTGTGCCTGAAGAGCACCACCTATATAGTGCTCTCCAGGCACAAACATCGCCAGGGATACAAACTTACAGAGGCGCTCCGTTTCCAGCGCGAAAAACACTTTTCTTACAAATCATCGCCGAAGCCGCAAACACTATTTCGTACTGTTGTGCCCAGTGCGGGCTTGCGACTAGTTAAATTGGAGGTGACAGCGTTGTGGGGAGCAAACCCTTTCTTACAAATCATCACCCAAGCCGCAATCACTATTTTAATATGTCTGAAGTTTGTGCTATTTTTCTTATTATTCTTATAGCCTGGTTTTTAAACTCCAATTGCATAAATCCTATCGTTGATTCACCCCTCCCCTGAGTCACGAATTCCACTGATAAATGTGACAAGTTAACGTTCTGGAATATCCGTTGCTATGGCTGCGATATGAGTGCGCATATAGTTTTATTCATTTAGAAAAGCGATCCTGTCAGCTTTTCTATTATTGTGTTCACATGGTAAGACCTAACGACACCGCTATCGAGACACGTTGTGTACGTAGCTACGTAAGTTTCTACGTAAGATGCTCGGTACCTGGACCAGGCCGGCAGCTACTCCATGGCTCCTACTATCGCGTGGCTGGCCGCATGCGTGTGCATTGCAGACTTTTTGTTGTTGCCTTTTCTGATAACTTTGGAACTGCTTCTTGCATGAGCTGTTTCGGATATTTCGTCTCCTAGCCTGGTTTTTTCGTTTCGGCGCTGCTCAGACCTCCGTTCGCGCAAAATTACTCAATGACAGGTGAGTTGCCCAGTTCACTTTGATTCGTTTGCTTGTGTATACTCTTTCACTTACGAAAAGTGTCCTGACTTTGGGTGGAATGCAATTGATAATGGGAAAGCTGACAGGATCTCTTTTCTAAATTTAGTTTTTCCGCTGCCGAGGCCTCCTTTTACGGAATACACGATGACAGTTGATCTGTGAGTTGACCAGTTTCCTTCGATTCATTTGCTTATGCTCACCCTTTCATTCACGGAAACGTGTGCTGATTTTATTCGGATTTAGATCCAGTCGTATCTCTTTGCCCTTGCCCACAGTGTGCGAAGAAGGCGAGTTTACCTTCTTGACGGTAAGGCTTATGTTGCTGCTGAGGCTTAGATGTGTTGTCTAAATTCTCATGTTCATTGTTCATTGGTACGTTACAAGTAAGGCACTGATATTGCTTCCGGCACTCCGTGCCCCGATCGATCGCGACCATAGGGTAGAATCTGAATTTTGCAGACTGTCAGTGGCATAATAATTATCGTTGGCAGTTCCCAATCTGGAGGGAAAGGTTCAAGGACGCATTGACCGAGGATGCAGAATATATTCGCATACATGTATCATGGGAAATCTCCATTATGGAGAGGTTCAGTGACTTGTTTGCTTCATACGAAACAAGTCAATGGGTGCAGTCTCGTCTCGTGAAAATATCGCACGATTCGATTTGTTTACTCGAGTCTGGGCTGTTTGATTTGTGATTGGCGCCGACATTGCACTGCTCCAAATAAAGTTGCGTGCCGGTAAAGCAAAAATGGACCGTATGCCATTTGTACAGATCCACGAAATCCCGTAGACCCGCTAGGGTGTTGAATGTGCAGGACCCTATTGTGTTTTCTGCTATTTCCACTAAGAAATGGGGCCTGAAGGCAATTCACACGAAAACCTTTTTCTGACGAAGATCTAGCTAGTCATTAGTTCTAACAAGAGTACATAACCCCCCAGAGTGTGCAACTCGACTATGGGTGCTGTCCCGACAGAATTTCAAGTTGACTTCATTTTGATGATGCAATGCGCACTGTACACGGATTATCAGACGAATCCGGAACCTGTGGTTGACCAAAGCCGATTTAATCCTGTACAAATTATTGCAAAGAAAAACATGTGATGGGTTGACACCCGTACACATGTTGTAAATCACTGGTGCAAGTAGCATTGCGTCATAAATAATGACGTCAACTTGAAATTTTGTCGGGACAGCAGGGTATGTGGGAGTTGCACACTCTGGGGGGTTATGTACTCTAGGTTCTAACCAAAGTGAAGAAGGTGGAAAATCGATTGCTGGTCATTGAATTATGACGCTAAAAAGGTCAAATGCGCATGCATAGCACACAATGAACACCCTATTGGGTCTACGAGATTCTACGGGATTTCGTGGATCTGTACAAATGGCATAAGGTCGATTACGATCTGCAATCTGTTTGTAGTACCAGCAAGAATGTGCTGTACATATACCGTGTTTCTCTGTTGCTGTTTCACTTGCCGTCATGTTGCTAAAGAAAGGTTCAGTGACTCATTTGTGTCATACGAGATAAGTC